CCCACACCTGCATCCCGGGCTGGGGCTGCAGGAGTACGAGATCCTGAGCTTTGCAGAGTCAGGTGTGTATGGATCTGCTTCCTGGGGAAGGGGGCATGGAGGGAAGGGAGGCTGTGCCCTGGGAAGGTGGTGGGAAGTGGAGGGGGGTGGTCTGTGCTTGGTGATGGTGGTCATCACGGAAGGAGTGAGAGGTCCACATCCAGAGCCTTTGCATTCACATCCCAAGTGTATCCCAACTCACAGTCCCTCACCATGGGCAGGCAAAGGGCTCTGGGGACTCTGGGGTCCCTGTCACTCATTGACAGGATGTGCTGGCGTGGAAGGATGGCACAGGGCTCAGGGGTCCTGGAAAGCATCACTGGAAAACAAGGATCCCACATCCCACTTCTCCCAGACAAACACAGCTTTCCTTGAAGAGATGCAGACTTGCCATCCCATCCCACAAAGCATCTTGCACCCTCACTTTCCCAGCCCAAATCCTGCATGGTGAGTTGGGGGAGCTCCTCTCCCCTTGCAGGCCCCCATGTCCTCGAAGCCCTCCGGGAACAAAGCTGCTCCGCGGAGCATTGTGTTCCCACACTCCAGGACAATGAGGAGTTGTCTCCTGGCTTGGTGGAGCGTTGGCTGGAGTCGAGCCGGGGGGTGAACCCAGGCCTGAGCACGGGGAGGGGGTTGTGTCCTCATGGGCAGAACTGTGCCAGGAGCACTGAGTGCCCTCACAGCCCTGTCAGACCTTCCCTGACCAGAAGGAGCACCAGCTCTGCATCCAAGGAAGAAGAGAAAGTTCTGAGGAGACCTTAAAGCCCATTCCAGTGCCTAAAGGGGCTCCAAGAGAGCTGGAGAGGGACTTTGAACAAGGGCCTGGAGGGCCTGGACACAGGGAATGGCTTCCCACTGGCAGAGGGCAGGGATAGATGGGATACTGGGAAGGAATTCTTCCCTGTGAGCCTGTTAAGGTGGTGGCACAGGTTGTCCAGAGAAGCTGTGGCTGCTCCATCCCTGGGAGTGTACCAGGCCAGGTTGGATGGGGCTTGAAGCAACCTGGTCTAGTGAGAGGTGTCCCTGTCCAGGGCAGGGTGTGGAACGAGAGGAGCACTCCCCTCCCTTCACTGTCTGACTCTGCTCTCGGTTTCTGTGCACAGGGTCCTCCACCTCCCGCAGCATCCTCCTGCATTTCCGCTTCTCCCGGGAGCTGGCTGGGAGCACTGAGATCCTGCAGGCCACCCTCTACCTGTTCTGGGCAGCCCCCAGCCCCGGGGCACAGCCTGTCACTGTCAGACTCCTGCAGCCAGACCCAGCAGGGCTGAACGCAACCGTGTCCAGTGAGACACGGCTGGAGGTGCAGAGCTCTGGCTGGACCACGCTGGATGTGGGAGCAGCTGTCCGGAGCCTCTTCGGCCAAGGGACCCCACAGCTCACGGTGGAGCTGGAAGTGCCAGAGGACTGGGAGTCCCCACTACCAGCTGACCACAGTGATTCCCACTGGCCATTTGTGGTGGCCCAAGCCCAGGCCAGGACCCCCCACCGTGTCCATCGTCGTGGCGTCGATTGCAGCGGCAACTCGCGGATGTGCTGCCTCCGGGAATTCTTCGTGGACTTCAAGGAGATCGGCTGGGAGGACTGGATCATCCAGCCAGAGGGATACCACATGAACTATTGTGCGGGGCTCTGCCCGCTGCACATGGCAGGGATCCCCGGGCTCGCCGCCTCCTTCCACACCGCCGTCCTAAAAAAAAACACGGCTGCCCGGCCGGCCGCGGCCGTGGATTCCTCCTGCGTCCCCACCCAGCGCCGCCCCCTCTCCCTGCTCTACTACGACCGCGACAGCAACATCGTCAAGACCGACATTCCCGACATGATCGTGGACTCCTGCGGCTGTACCTGAGCCACCTGAGGAGAGGGGAGGGCAGGATGGGACGGTGCAGGGCTCCCTCTTCCCACCCCCTCTTGGGAGCTGCTGAAGCCCTGCCGAGGGGTTCGTACCTCCTGGGGGTGAAGCATCGAGGGTGATGATGTATCTGCAAGTCTTTTCCTCCCTCACCTCCCACATGGCTCTTTTCCTTTGGATCTGCCCACGGATTCCTCTCACAGCCCCTGGGACCAGCTCCTGGTGGATTCTAGACCCTTCTCCTGCCGAACAGTGTAGATTGTGGCTCAGGGTGGCCCCGCTGCCATTCCAGCCCGAGGTCGTGGTGCACTCTCAGTGCTGCTGCACCAACACAGGACCCACCAGTGGCCACCCCAGGCTGCCAGAACTGGGGAGGACAGAAGGGAGGGGGTATCCCCATGGTGCCAGCCACTCAGCTGGACATGAGGCTGAGAGGGATAAGAAAGGGGAAATTGATCCCAGTGGGGGAAATGTGTCTCTCTCTCCAAGCATCCCAACTACATGGTGTTCAATAAAGACTCCCAGCCATGGTGTGTGCACAGCTGTGTGTACACATATGTGTCCGGTTCTTAGCCAGCACATCTTCCAGCATTCCTGGCACAGGTAGCCCCAGGATGGCATGGGATGGACCCACTCTGCTTTGGAAAGCCCAGGCAGCAGGACTGGGCATCTCCACACTGTTCTCAGAAACCTCCCATGCTCTCTGCCCTTGGCTGCCTTTCCCAGGGGGATACAGAACCTCTGACTCATCCCAACCAGATCCAGGGCATAGTGTGGGAACCCTTCAAACACAGGGAGCTTGTGATTCCTCCCAGGAATCCTTGCTTGGGCCAAATTTCCCATTCTTCCTAAACCAGCTGGGTTTGGCCATTCTTGTCCCAAACCAGGACAAAACTAAGAAACTCTTCTCCATTTAGAAGTGGACAGACGCTGCCAGGTGAGAGCCACAGCACCCAGGACCCCTTCATTCCCTACAGCCACCCCCCACCTCCCTTCCTGTGGAGCATCCTCTCAGCACCTCCCTGGCCCACAGCCGGAGCCGCTGTCCCCCCTCACTGCCTCTTGCCAGCCCAGTGACAGCAAAGTGGGACATGTCAGGGCCGTGAGAGCGAGGGGCAAAGGGCAGCTCTGACACTTCGGCCCCGTTACGTAACCGCGTGTTCGGGTTTCTCCACTGCTCCCCATGTGTCCCCCCATGTGTGAGAAAGGCTGGGAAAGAGAGTGCTGGGGCTGGGGGGGCTTGGGAAGGGTTGGCAAAGTAAGGAGGTGGTGTCAGACCCTCTCCCCATCCAGCTTTGCATCCGCTGCCCAATCCACGATGATGAGCCATGAGCAGCATTGGTTGGAGCAGGGGCAGGATGCACACAGTCCCGGAGGACCTGTGACATCTGGAGCAGGGTTGGAACAACCTGTGAAGGGTGACAGTGTTTGTCCACATTGCACACATCCTCCCACCAAGGCCTGATGGAGCAGGGACCCTCATCTTCCCAGATCCAGGTGTCCAGGAACCTCCAGGACTCAGCCCCAAAGCATTAACACTGAGCAGCTGCCTGGACAGGGAAGAAGGCTCAGGGATCGATCCTGTCTGGGGCCCAAGGCCACTTGCGCAAACCCAAAGAGGGTTTGGTGTTTGTTTTTTCCATTCTTTTTCCAACGCCTCATTTCACTGTCTATATTTATTGAACAAACAAATTCCCTGGAGCCAGCCCTGAGCTCACCAGGATGCAGCAGCTGTGGGCACACAGGGGCTAAGAGAAGGGGCAGGAAAGCCATTGGATGGTCCTGTGCCCCTACAGACCCCTCAGCTCAGGCAGCACAACCCCAAAACTCTGAGCTGAGCCTTGTCCCAATCCCATGGGAAACAGGTTGTCCGGATGCAGCCAATAGCCACTTCTGGGGTGACCAAGGCTCAGGAATCCCAAGGTAGCACTTAGCACCTGGGCAACACACAGGGTAAAGAAGCTGCAGTCAGGGAAGAGTGATTCCCTCCCTGCTGTGACACTGTGCTCTGCTGGAGCCTCCTGATCTCTCGTGGGGCTCTGGAGGGGCTGGCTCAGGCCCAGTGCTGGGAGCTTGTCCTGTTGGGACCAGCGAGGCTGGCAGAAAGCTCACCCTGCAGCCCCCAGCATGGTAATGCCATAGAGACAGCACTGACCCAGTGCTTGGGCTGTGCCAGATGTGACACAGAGTGGGACAGAGGTGATGTTCCCTCGGTTTCCACTCCAGGAGGGAACTGGTGTGTCGGTGCCCTCTGGAAGGAACCTTTGCCAGTATCAACAGCCCCTGAAGCAAAGGTCTGAGCACACTGTGCCAGGTGCCCCTGGGCAGGTCCAGCTCCTGGGAGGGGTGGGAATTTCTGACAGTCCCTTCCCTTGCCTTGAGAGGACTTAACATTTGATTCCCAGTCCCACGGCCCTGACAGTGGCACCAGTGTGGTGACCTCTTCTCCCAAGAAATAAGCAACAGGACAAGAGGAAACTGCCTCAAGTTGTGCCAGGGAGGCTTAGATTGGAGATTAGGGAAAATTCCTTCACTGGAAAAGTAATCAGGCACTGGCAAAGGATGCACAGGGTAGTGCTGGAGTCACCATCCCTGGAAGTGTTCAAAAAATGTGTGGCTGTGGCACTTGGAGACGTGGGTTAGTGATGGCCTTGGTTGTGCTGGGGAAACGGTTGGACTCAATGAACTTAGGCGCTTTTCCAGCCTTAATGATTCCATGATTCCATAAGCCACACTCAGGTCTTGGTGCACGAGCTCTTGGGGGGTCCCTGCTTAGCCCAGCCCATTGTCACCTCCAGGTCAGGTCACCAGGTGCCACACTTGCCCCAGTGGCCATGGGGTCAGAGGCCCAGGAGCCATGTGTGGAGCCAGTGCTGGTCCTGGGGGGATCTGGGGGGTATTTTGGTCAGGTTGGTCCCAGGGCTTTGCTTTCTGGGAACTGCTTAATCAACAACACACTTATGCAATGGGTGCAAGAGCCACACGCGGCTCCGTGCTGACCCCTGCCCTAGATCCGGGGGCCAAAACGTGCTGGGGGTCATGCGCGTGAGGGGCTGGGGATTGGATGCTCTTGCTTAGCTGGTGATGGAATGGAGGTTCATGGTGTGCTGGACAGCACAGAGGGATCCTAGCAGGTTCCACAGGATCAATCCCTATGGGCACACCCTGCTCCCAGCCTGGAATGGAGGGTAGGTGGGTTGGAGAGTCCCTCACACATTTTGCCACACTGTGCCTTCTGTTTCCCGCAGTGCCACAGCCCCAGTCCTGGTTCTAGGATCTGGCAGGGATGGAGGAATTCAGCAGAGCTGGGGAATGGGCATGTGGTGCACATGGAACATGTCCAAAATGGAGCAGGTATCCAAACATTTGGGAGGGGGCCTGGACATGTATTTGCAAAGGTGTGTATCATAGAATACCAGAATGGTTTGGGTTGGAATGGACCTTAAAGACATCTCATTCCGTCCCCTGCCGTGAGCAGGGACAACTTTCACTAGACCAGGTTGCTTCAAGCCCCATCCAATTTGGCCTGAAACATTCCCAGGGATGGAACAGCCACAGCTTCTCTGGGCAACCTGTGTCAGTGCCTCAGCACCCTCACAGGGAGGAATTTCTTCCCAATAGCCCATCTATCCCTGCCCTCTGGCAGTGGGAAGCCATTCCCCCTTGCCCTGTGACCCTCTGCCCATGTAAGGAGCCACTCTCCCCGTGTGAGCACCTGTGCGTGCCAGTATGTGCCCTGCGTACGTGCACCAGGCAGCTGTGCTTGGCTGGAAGTGCCACCTGCCCTGTCCTGCCACTGTCCTGGTAGTGCTGCCTGTGGCCAGCACTCCCAGGTCCTCTGGGACCTGTGCTCCCAGGCCAGCCTGTGCCCACTCCTTCCTCTCTGTTGACATTCCTGGGCTATTCTGGGAGCTGCCAGCGGGCCCAGCCAGCTGAGCCCTTTGCCCCTTGCACCGTGGTTGCATCATCTCCGGTGGGTGCTTTTTCCCAGACAGCCCATTCTGTTTACATAGCACCTCTGGCTTGGCCAGGGCCAGGGGCTCCATGTGGTCAAGACCTTGGAGTTGGTGCATGGCACGGTGGGCACAGGACATGCTGGAGTGCTGGCAGGGCTTCAAGTTCCCACCGTACTCTCCTGGTTCCCTGCTCCAACTGGCCTCTGCCAATCTCCCAACAACGTGGCACCTTGCATCACTTTTGGGAGGGTACTGCTGGCCCCTGCCCTGGCTCAGGTTGCACATCCCGCTCCAAAAAGTCCGAGGAACATCTTCAGGTTGATGTGACATTGGCTGCCATCTACTAAGCCCTCAGGACATACAAATCCTCTTTATATTGCATGAGGAGGAGAGGACACAATGTTCATTTTCACTGGTCCTTCCCAGCTCTGTCCTGGGCTGATGCTGGACCGAGTGGTCCAAGGGGTTGGCTCAGACCCCCCAACTCATCACCTGGTAGGAGTGATAAAAGTCCAGAGATGTGACAGTCCCTGGGAGCTCTGGGGTCATCCTAGGAGCCCTTCCTTCCTGCAGGTTTTGGGGCAGGTTTTGATGCTCAGCACGCTCCTGCTGGGAGGGAGCTGGCTGGGGTCACTCTGTCCCCCCGGGCAGATGCCACAGGCAGGCAGAGCACATGTGCCCACACACCTCTGCATGCACCACTATTTGTGCACGCCCATATGAACCTCCCCCGTGTGACCCCCACTCGTGCCCATCCCACGCGGGTGCGGCAGGGGCTGGTGCTCAGCCCCCGTGGGACCCTCCCGCGGAGAACGGGGAAGGATGGGGGGCTGCTCACGGA